TTGTGAATAAAACTATCTATCTATCTGTCTAAAAGATTTTCCATTAAAATCGATTACCAAGTCCTTTTTTTACACGAGAAACACTTTTTCTTCGTCACTTTCAATTTTGGAAACACAAAACGTGTTTACAAAAATTTCAAATTCAAAAAACTGCCCTGTAGAAAATAATTTATCCTTGCTATTACTAAGCGCGAGGAATATGTGCACTCGTCTTGGACTTTCCTCGGTTCGAATTCTTTAATTTAGATGTCTTGCAACGAGCATCTATGACCAAATTTTTTGAGTCAACTGCAATATTTATCATTAAATTACTTGTATTTTAAGACTAGTCCAGATTGGTTAACAAGGGGGTGCAACTGTTAACATCAACTTACCTGTTTGACAGCAGCTACCACATAAAAGGGACCAAAACAAGTAAGCTACTCTGGTGTTGAATATTGTGTTTAGTATATACTTTTCACTAGGGTTAGGTGCGTTTGGCCGGCGCACCAGTGAAATAAAAAAATATTACTTTTTTTTAATTTTAATTAAAAATAATCTTGAACATTTCAGTTGGGGTTGTCATATCAAGTCAAGTTCAGAAACTTACTTTGACACTATGGTGAAGGTCGATCTTAGTTCGGATCTTAGACAACTAGGACATACATGAAGTTTTAATTATAAGGTCTCCTTAAGCATAGATATTCAATTCTTCTTTTAAAAACTGTTTACCATATTTTTACATAAGAAAACAAATACGAAAGAAAATAGTATTATTAAAACCGTAGTCTAAACAAAAAATATACTCAATATAAAAAAAATATATCAAAACTCAAATATTTTTAAAAAATCTTCTATAATATGTATATATATTTTAATGTTACTCTTATTAAATTATTAAATTAATGTACTTTTTAATTGTTGAAAGTTGTTTAATGGCGAGGCAGCCGGGAACTTCAGTAAAAAAGCGGTAGCCTGCCATCTATATCGGGAGGGGTTTCCAACCTCAGAGTAAGTATAGAAATAGTGTTGGTAATCATAATTAATAACAAAAATACATCTAGTCATAAAAAATGAATAGTTTATTTACGTAGAACTTCATATTTTTATTTAGAAGGCCTTATTTTTAATTTGTCACATATAACGGAGGTAAAATGCAAATATGTTGTTTGTAATAATACTGCAGTAAAATAATACAATACAAAATTCGCATTTTGTATGAATATTTTATTGCAAAAGTAATTTTGCCACGTTTTCGGGTATATTATAAACAATAACAGCGTCTCTTTCGCTAAAAAGGAATTGATTGCTTTTGGACTTGGTTTAAGAAAAGTTCAAATCTTATCGCCGTTTCGGCGATTTTTGATTGTCCGTGTTAATATATACAGTAAAATTGTGGACAACGAATATTTATATATCTATTCTATTCTATTATCGATTAACGCAACACATTCGGAATAATTAGACCCCATAAATTATTCCAGCTTCTATATGTTTTTTTTTCTAAGGCGTTAATGAAACGACCCAAAATCCACGTTAAAGGCCGCGCGAACGTCAATTCAATAACCGTCCGTTGTAATGGCCCTTTGGAAAGAATACGTTCAACACAGATCGTGGAGGTCTCTACGTAGGGGAGTCCTGCACGGAAAATTGTGCCAGTGTGTGTGGTGCGCTTCGATTGTTTGTTTTCTTTCACCAACACGTTACCGTCGAGTGCACAAGAATAGTTTTCGCTCTTTGCAATTATCATCGACTGCAATTATTGTTCCGGTTTTGCGTTTCGGTAGGGAAGGCACCCCATATTTGCGGTAGGTTGCGAGCGCGTTTCATCCAACGACCTGTCAATCGCAGGCCAACGTGGTCGACGTTTGAGCACGTGCTGGATTTTTAAGAAGACGCGACCGCCTCTGTCGCAGCGTCAAAGCCCGAATTTCTCGAGGGGTAATTAACTAAGGGTTGCTTCGGCGGGAACGATACCTCGGCCGGTCATTGAGCGATGGACTTCGTTTCCAAGGTAACAATTACACCACGTGAAGGTCCAGTATGGGAACCAATTACGGAGACGGCAGTGATGGATAGCCCAATCAGGGAGGACTACGGAGGGTTCACCTCGCGCGCCCGGGTCACAGTTCGGATTACGCGCTTTCTCCGTTATATTATTTTCCCGCCAACTTCTCACGTTTGCTATCGGCACAGAGTCGAAATTAGCTTTAATGAACGACGGCCTGCTGTTTCCATATCGGATGATCGCGATTGCCGATATAAAATGCGTAGATGTAGATAGGTATGTGGGGATTAAATCTCCATGCATTACGGTAAACTTCAAGTTTAGTTTAACGTTGACTCTGTTACCGTTGATGAGGCAAGTTACAATTTTACTAAAGAGGCAAAAACGGTTTTTCGATTATATCACAACGTATTCATTTTTTATTGCGAATGAAACTTGTATACAGATATATACAGACCATATTTAGGTATGTACGGCAATCGGTACAAAAACAAACAAACAACATAACCAATATTTTTAGGTTCAGTTGAAAAATTTATTTCTGAAATGAAATATTAAGGTGTTTTATTAGATCCTCAGTAACATTTTGGTAAATATATAGACCGCAAAAAAAAACGTAAAAAAGATGATGAGAAAAGAAGTAGAAAAGAAAAAGGTCTTCAAGACTATTTTTGCCTCACTTTAATTACCTCTTGTCTCTCTTGTTGTTGATAGGCTGCGTACAAATGTGATCTACAATAAGCATACACCTATGAAAAATATGCTACCCATAATGAATTGGTTGACTGTATAACTTGACATTATAAGAGTTAATATGATATTGATTTATAAAGCTACCGGTTTATCTAGCCAAAAAAAAAACATTATATTACGAAGGGCTCCGTTTGTACAATAGTCTTTTCCAGAGTCAATAAGTAGTTTGCAAAACGTGAGTGCTTTTAGTAAAGAATTGTAAAGCAGGATTTCGAGGAGCTTGGCCCTAAATTGCTAAAGTGCCAAGCCGAGTGCTAAATAAGCAACCATTTTGTTTTATTCTATCTCGGAATGCCATCAAATAACACACCGCTTACCATAATGAAACTAAAGCGTTGAGAATTGCTTAACAGTATGATGACAAAGGAATATCGTCACATAAAAAATGGCAAGTTTTTTTTTCGCTGGCATCATTTTCTCTTAACTGAACTGTCTCCATAGAATATTGAGCAATTGGATCTGATACGCACTTAGAAACTCCCTCCATACATTAAATTTAATGACCCATTGCCGCCCCAGCCGACGTATCTCATGATCTATATACTTTATAAAATACCAAATTATACTTCCTTTTAGAAACCTACAGTTACAGCACTATGCTTTTTGGGCGATTGATGATTAACTTTGGTATTTTATTATCTGATACCTATTTTCGCAAAAAAGAGATAATTGAATCAAAAAAATTCAAGGGGCACAATTTTGCTTAGTCTTTCCCGAGGGGTAAGGTAAACCGAAATTTCCACGTATTTTGAAAAAAAAAACAAAATCCCTCAGATATCTTTGAAATACCCTTAAGTAACCCGAATTGTTCAAACTTTCTCGAAATTCCCTAAGTACTCTGAAGTTAATCCGTTCCAATGATTGTATGACATCACAAGCATATTTTGTATTAAAATAATTAATGTCACCAAATGTTTAGTTTAGAACATGGTAAATTTGCTTCTGCAAAAAATATCTATTTTTAGACGATTTGGGACGGAGAATGAATCCCAACAACCTAAATTATTAGAAAAAAAGACAAGAAAATAAAGCTCTTAAAAATGGATTTTAAAAATTTAGAAAATTTAAAAATATCCCATTACTTACGGACGACAAAATGGCTATTTTTTGAAGTGGGCATAAACAGAGTTAGCGTTTGGTTATATATTTTCATTGTGTCCCCAATTGAATCCTCAAAATGTCGATGAAATGCCACTGCAATTCCCTTTCAATGCCACTGCAATTTCAAACGACCTTGGATTTCAGTTGAAACAGTCGAAATCCGTTGTTACAAATGTCACTTCTTGGTGTTCAACAGCAAAAATGATTAGAACCCTTAATGAAACATTGGCTTGCAAGTTTTTAAATGATTTTAGACATAACTACAAATCTTTTTTTAAGACATTTTATTGTTTAATTTGACTAAAATATTTTTATTCGAAGGCCTAGACAACAGGAACAAAACGAAGTGAGTAGTCTGACGGAACGGTACTACAAAGTTAGTTCCTAGCCAAGCCGAGAGAGACAGGAAGGAAGATTTTTTTCTCGGGTCCATATTAAAAAATTCTGAATGGAAATATAAAATATTTAACATTTTTTACCATTCTATCACCAAAATATAAGGAAGTGAAACGAGTTTGGGTGTCAATGGGCGTTATCCGCGTTTTAAAACGTACTGACCCTACATTGTTTATGTATATGCACACACGTTGCGTGCGTGCGTCCATGTGTGCTTGTGTGTGTGTCTGTGTGTATGTGTGAGCGCAGTAATAGTTGGAATAAGGTGCGGAAACAACGTCGGTATCGTAGCGGGTTACGGGGACGACGTCCACGACAACGGGGGGGAAAAAAAGAGGAGAGCCGAACGTTGCGCCTCCTCCCCGACAGTTCGCCATTTCGCCGTGACGCGCCACTAGCGGGACGCGGCGCACGCGCATCGCGACGTCATGGCTGCAAGGCGGGAATGCGGTGGTAACCATGACAACGACGGTCGAGTGTCCCCCCTTTCGGTGTTCCCGGCCCCCCCACTGGTGGATCGAGTGGGGACGGCGACTGCACACAGCTGTGAGCTTACCGTGCGGCAGAAGGGAACGGCGATAGAGAACCGACGACGAGGCTGGCGCGGCGCGATTACTCCCGAACATTTTATTTAAAAAAAAGCGCCGTAGTTTTTTTGTTTTAAAAATCCCAATAAAAAATGGCGTCCAAATGAAATTTCGAAAGGGGCAAGTGTCGGGCGGGCGGGTATGGTTCGTGATTAATAGCGTTGAGATAAACTTACCCGGACTTCCAAGGAAAACCGATGAGTAAAGGACGCCTCTTCGGGCGGCGTCCGCCGCAACCCTCGCGTCGGGTGGTGACGACCATTCTCGCCGCGGGCACCATTTGCCTGAAACAAAAGGAGAAACCGCATTGAAAGCCATTGTTTTAAGCTGTTTTAACGTTACTAGAAAAACGTCTTAGTTTTCGACCTGCCAACGCAGTTTGGTTAGTTTTGGTTAGGTCGTTATCAATTCGCGGCGGTACGAACAAAATTTATATTCATTGGTATTGTGTTAATTAATAAACAGGACGACATACAGGTGTATTTATCTTTTGATCCACGAAATACTGTCCAAGTTATTTGGGCACTGAATTTCCAAGATATCATACGTTATGCTATTTGGTAACTCCAATGATGATTGAATTAAAAAAAAGATTTTCCCAGTTCCATCGGGATTAATAGCGTAAACCTGCAGTTTAAAACGGTTGTAAGAAATTTAGGTGTACATTCGTATCTTCAAAAAGCATGTATAAACTTAAAAATGATATTTCAATATCGTCATGCCCTAAATGGAGCTCGTAAATTAATATTATGTAATGCTCTAGTACTTTCCAAGTTGACTTGCTGTGATATTGTATACGGAGATTGTGTACTATAAGGGTTGCTGATCGTATATAAAAGATATAAAATTCATATGATACGACTTGTTTTCGTAATACGAAAATTCCATCATATTAGTGCACATTCAGACCATCGGGATATCTTAGAATATGTGATCGAATATTTATATATTAAAAAATCAGTTTTGCATGGACGTTCCTACCATTAAAGTAATGTTTATTGGTAAACTCTAGGTCTATTTTGGGGCGTCGTCTATAGATTTGGTTGATACTTATATTTATGTTCATTTCATTCTTGTTGTTTTTTATTATAATGATGCATGTAAATTGTGAAGCAATTACTAGCATAATTTAATATCTCTTATAATTAATATTTTTTCTTCTTCTGAGTTTGCTAGACAATCGGCGGATGAAAAATCCAAAATCTAGAAACTTTATTTTATGACAATTTTTGTCCACAATTATTACAAAAGCCTGAGAGGTAAATTGATATGTTAAAGATATTTTGATACTATTCCACCTTCAACAGAGACCGATTGTATGTAAATATATTTTAATTGCTAGAAGACATCCAATTTTTTAAGTAATAAGTAAAATAATGTTAAACATTAACACAATTAACTGTAGTGATTTTATGAAAATATAGGATAAGTTAGGCGATAATTCACAATATTCATGGAAGCAAAAACAAACAACAATAGTGACAAATATAAAGGAACAGAGAAAATACTGTGTAAAATAGTGTCCATAGGACTTTTTTTTAATTAAAAATAAAAGTTTTTGCCTCCTGTCCTAATTTGAATATTGAATAACCTTGTATAAGAAAACTTTATTATTATTATTATTATTTTTATAGTAATAATAAAGTAACCAATTGAAGCTGCATAATTTGCATTTATTATATATGAAAACAACAAACAGATGTTTACAGAAACCAAATGACTTTAGAATCACCAAGAATTCAGCATTGGGAGAATAAAGCAAAAATTCCTTTGGTACTTTAATTCTCTTTTTTAACAGACTTCATGGTCCACCCTTGTTTAGCTATTACTTTAAATCTGGATCTTGATATGCATGGAATCCGCTCATCTTCTCTAACCGAGAAATATGTTCAATGGGATATAAAGGTATACTGATTATTCATTATGGTCCTTACAATCAAAAATTAATGACGGTAAAGTAGTCAATATTCTTTAAAGTAAATATTTTTATTCAGTTTGTGCATACCTAGTTGCAGCCGTAATTTGAATTCTTGTCTCTCTGAAAAGCATTAATCAAATACGTGCCCTTAAGAAATTCGTTATTCGTAGTAAGAACTTTCGACAAAAGAGTGTGGTATTCTGCCTCTCCGATTTAATTCATTGGGGCACCCACTACCAGTTTTCGACGCAGATATTTGCGCCCTTAAGACAGTCGTTTTTCTAAGTTCGCCCGGTCATTAAAAATATCCGAACGCGCACATATTCCCCAAGGAAAATCGTAAAAAGCTCATAGACCAATAAATGTAATAACAAATGCATATTACGTAAATATTAAACCGACCATAACCGCAATCGTAAATGAAATAATGTTCGGCGGGTCGTAAATAACGTCCATCTGGTTTCTGTATATTCAATATCAGAAAATTGCATTGGCAACTTGCATATTTGAAATGTTAATTCGCGATCGGACGTCGAATGAAGATACGTATAGATTACTTATGTCCTCCGCGCTATTCTTATAGCACACGCACACGTACCATTGTGTCGAACATTTTATTTTCTTCTAAACGAAACAATGGTGGTACTGTGTAACATAATAAACTGGCGATAGGAAATATAATTTAATTTAATTTTACAGCAAAATGGCTCGTTAATGTTTTAATGAGGGACACATCAATCAAAATTTCCAATTTCCAACCGCCGTCTTTTAAATAACATAATCATAAATATTTATTTCTGTTTGACATTGTATCACAAAGTACAAACTAACAAAATAAACCCTACTCATCAAATAACTTAAAAATTTCGAAGTCCTATTTACCATTAGATACGGAAGTTATTTTGATTCATGGATCAATTCATTTTTTTTGGGATTATGTTCAGGTAACAAAAGTTTCATAAATCCCAAGAATGCGATATGAAGTGGGACAACTCTGAGAAAATGATTGAAGTAAAAGCTGTTAGATTTAAAGCAGCAAAGTAGCAAATAAAAATTAAAAAATGAAGATTCATCTACAGAAGATGATATATGAGGTGTTGGTAATAATTCGAAGAATGTAAAGTGATCAATAAAATATTATTACAATTATTGGATCAAATTCCACAGGTCATAAAACCAACTAAGCCGCATTGTGCGGTTGACCGATCAATTTTTTGTGTGCCAATAGAGCGGTCAATTGACCGAAATTTTAAAAATAAAATAAAATCTATATAGGTATATGCGTTACATAGCCGGAATTTTTCATTTTGATCGAATTTGACTATTATTTTATGTTAATTAAAGGTTTTCCAACTCTACCGAAAATAACTTAAAATTTATAATAGGGCACTCCAAAGTAGATTCTTTTGGGTGTCTTGTAGACACCTTAATAAGATAGTTTTGGTTTCATTTAAGTTTACTAGAAGACTCAATGGATCTCAATTTATGTTTTCCTAATAAATGATTATATTTATTCGCGCCCACCAAGAATGAAAAACAATAATATTGAAACTAACTTAATAACGAATTGATGTAATAAATGCATGGGTAAATTAAGTTTTTTTTGCGGCAATTGGCAATTAAGTAAAATAAAGACAATAAGTGTTATTAAATCCAAATATACCAAAATTTTTAACTGCATCAGTAGATATATAAAGAGTATTTTCGATATATATTAGTTTTGAAAATAATATATTTCATTTGCAATTTCAAAACGTGTGACGCGTGACGTCTGGCAAGTGAAAACTTCAAAGAAACATTCAATGAAATAAATCAGCTTAGCTATTTTAAAACATGATGATAATATGTTATAACATTAGCGTAAAACAAATGTCGACTATTTTGAGAATCCCCCACAAACTTGTCAGGTTCACTGAATTTGGTAGGTTCAACTATGCCTACTTAGATGTTGTTTATAATGAGGATTAATTAGTGTTAAACATTTATAATTTCAAGCAAGATTTTCAATTAGGAACATTAATAAACCCAGGATTTAGATACAGTAGCAAGAATATATTGCAGAAAATATCTTATGGTAGGTTATCCTTTTCAAAGATAAGTAGAACATTTTTGTATGAAATAACTATATAATAGCATCGAAATTGTTGATCTAGGGAAAAAGTTATATGGAAATTTTTGCTTAATTTGCCGACGGTGTGGTATACGACGGTTTCCCTTTATAAAAAAACAATCGCTTTCACTACCATAATCGTTGAAAAGAAAAGTATATTTAGCTTTATTGTATCAATAGTACAGAAGACTGAAGTTTTAAAATCCACGGCATAAGATTTATATTGTGAAAATTGGGAGGCATTTTTGGAAAAAACGATGTTTTAATAATATAATACGAGCGGGTGCAACATGATATATATAACATACAAGAGATTTTCAAGTACATAGCACAAACTTCTGTGGTAGAGAGTTCGTTGGCACCTTAATGACTGCGATCAGAAATCTATACACTAGACTAAATCAAAACGAGGCAATATACTAAAACGGATAGCACAAGCTATAGAAAAGAGGAAAATCGAAGATCCCGCAACACAAAGGAATAATGTAATGTTCAAAAATTCCAGCACACACATACATATAATATCCCAGACAATTCAGAAACAATCCAGCCCCACTCCCGCGCGTCTGTGCGCTAATTGAAAAGGGCGCGAACCAAGGGTCCGTGGCATAGCGCAGGGGGGACGGCACACGCAGCGAGAGATTGCGTTCTTATGTCTTGTAACGACAGGTTGTCGAAATTAAAGGGTGGAATTTTGATTTACGAATAGAATCGACAGCAGATGCACGCGGAAAATGCGAGAAAGCGAGGGGCCAATCGGAACGCGGCGTCGGAGGGTCTCGACGACGCCTGCTCTCGCGTCGTTATTTATACGGACGCAATGAAAAACTCCGGGTCCAGATTCGTTTCCCGCTGACCCTTTTGCGTTACCTGTTTTTTTCTTCTTTTAATTAAAAAGTTTTCTCGTTTTGGTTTAAAGGTTTTTCTTACTCTTTAAAACGTTCACGTTTTTCTTACTGTTTAAAACGTTTACATTAGTTGAACCGGAAGTACGCAACTGATATTCGATCATATTTCAAATATACTCATTGTCGTGTAAATAAACCTTTAGAACCATTAACTTATTTCAATTATTCAGTTATTCATTTATTAATGAGCTAAAATTTCCTTTTAAAAATCGTTGTTACTGCAATGTCCAACTGACAGTTACTTTTCGTTTTGCTACGATGTGTAAGAATTTAAAAGCATCACTAATAGTTTTACGTTGTTTAATAAATCCAATAAACTATTACAATTATTCTAATTGTCACAGTTGCATAAACCTGGAAATAGTGACATACTGAAAAATATTACGTGATTAGTTAGAAGAATTTTACTTTAAACACACTGTATGGTCAAGAGAGTGAGTAGTCGACTGGTTGACACTTCATAAATGCGTGTTGACTAGGCAGTCTGTGAATGCTTGAAATACTTTTACGAGAAATTTTTATTTGTCTTTAGTATTTTTTGAATTTTCAGTTGCTGCGCAGTTACTCGGAAGGGCTTAGTACAATTACAAATTTTATTTTCCCTATTTGCAGGTGAAAAAAAAAAGTATTTACTTAAAAATTTGATTGACTATCTATTGATATCATCATCATTATCATCATTTTTTAATTATTAACTAATCGGTTTTTTATATAATATTTCCATATATTTATGTGCTACACTTATAAACCGAGATATATACAATTTACGCAACATACAAAATGATGATAACGTGGTTAGCTTTGAAAACAGAAATTATGGCGTTAATGCTCAAAATATTGAAGCATTTTTTTACGATAAGTTTAAAGTAAATACAATTTTTTTAATATCGTTTAATATTCAACCAACCTACGTAGTTGTGTGTTTGACCGTTTTTTTTGTAAATTTATGAAATATTTACAAAACTTTTAACATTTTTGGTTGTCTAAAAGTTTAGGACCTCGTATACCACAATTTGTTGATTTGTGTTTTTAATACTTTGACAGCGAAACAGTTAATACGATGTTTCCAGTGCTGTGAGACAGGTTGCACGAAAGTCTTAGCAAAATAAGTATTTCTAAGGGACCATCTGAGAAATAAAAAGAAGGTCAGAGAAAAATGACACTGGTCGCAATTTATGAAATTGTTGAGAAATATTAACCAGTAATTATTTTCTAAAAACTCGTTTCCACCTTTTAATAAATTAGTTGCAAGAAAAAACAAGAAATCCTAAAAAATATTAAATGACACAGATTGATTTTAATAAGAAAATTTTGTACTCAACGTCAATTCACATTAACGAAAAAAGTTGTATTTAATCACCCAAATTGTTAGGAATCTAAAGCCTGTTTATGTCGTGTAAACTTTATCGCGGATTCCAGAAATAAGATGACGAATCCGAAACTTTGCATCAGTTGGTGTCATTTTCACTATCCCAAAACCTCGATGGTTAAATGACGACGAAGACGTTACAATACCTTTTACCGCTGGCTGTAAGGAGAATTGGAATTCAAATTCCCTCTACCGCTTCCGTCGCAATTTGACCTCGAAATGTATCAAATTTATACTTCAGGTGGGCGGTGGCGGTTTCTATTCTCCTCGACTGCAACAACGACAACCTGCGGTGGCAAAAATTGTAGCAGGAGCGGAGAACGGAGCGCGCGCTATTGACTAAAATCTGAACCGTCATCTGTTTATCATCGATTACCGTTCGCTTACAGCGAAACGGTCTGTCACTGGCGTTCGCTTCCGTATATCCACAAGTCCGTAGTCTGCTCTTGTCGTGTTTTGCACTAAATTTAAACGCGGCCCATCATCCGCACTCAAAACGCTCCCGATGCAGATTACCTAATTCGCAAATTTCGCACTCATTTTTAATCTATACGCCACCGAATTTATATGTATTATTATAATTTTTTTTGACAACAGCAGACACACAAACAAAAGTACTTGATGAGATTTTAATGTAATATTAAAAGATAATGCTCCTCCACACACCACGAATTGCAAAATTTTACCGAGAAACGGAAATTTGCAGTCTTAGAGTGGCCTTCTTGCTCACCACACCTTTTTCCTATAGAGCACTTACGGAACACCAAAAGAATGATTAGAGCTCGTCACATTAACCTTGGTAAAATACCAACACGCGAGGAGTGACAAATATTCCCCAAGAAGAAATTAACAATTCATCCATCACTCATTAGTACTGATTATTAAAATAATTTAAATTGCCATTTCTATTTATTTTTGTAACACACTTGAATTGGAAAATCCGCTTTTTCTGTACTATTCTATTTTATTTGGTTGTGTATTTCACGATGTAAATTTAAAAAACATAAAATGGCGTACGCAACCAGCGATCATTTGCGAGACACGTTTTCCCAAGGGGTAAATTAAAACAGCCTTTTTTCGTTTATAAATGAGACCGAACCAGAATGCGCCTCCAGAACTAATAAGCATAATAAATTGCACGATACAAATCGGCGTTTAAACAATAACGCAAAAGCAAAATTCCGATGAAGATTAAGAGTGTATGTACACGTTTGTGCGTCCTCGTTGCGATATCCCAGAGAAAATGTTATACCTTTAAAGCGAAAGACTTTAATTAACGTTGCTATATTTGTAATTACGTATTTTCTAGCCGAACTTATTACAGATAAATGTAAATTGCATCATCGCGTTTAACTTTTAATTAGTTTTGTTGCGTAGCTCGCAAGAAACGTTTTTGTTCGCGTTAAGTTTGTCTTTAATTATTCTGTACGGCCCTTTTACAACTTTTCGTTTTTAGTTTAGATGGATACGATAGATGTTTAGTTCCGTTCCGCCAAAGGATCGAGTTTTGGTTAGTCAACCAGGGTTAGAAAAAGATACTACGAATAGCACTGAAACGTTGCGAAAGGCAAGATGTTTTCATTTAAATCCACCCCTTATAGACCTAAAAATGGGTTCCATTCTACGGCCATTGAAATATGTCGCAATAGAAAAATATCCGCATACAGTAAGTTACACCGTACGATACCGGAATTTATACGCGGTTTATAAAAACGCGGGTAATCACGATCGGAGTACATCGTTTATTCAGCTCCGCATCTGTGTTCCGATTGAAATCAGTTCTCATAGAGTTTTTTTCCGAACGTTCCACCAAAGAAAGAATCGCCGGCCGTACGTTATTAATAAATATATTGTCTAACGAGCATCGTCCTCGTCACCGGGTGGTCAACCGGTCGTTTCATAGTTTTTCCGTATAGGCTGCGGGGAGATTCATTACCAAGTATGATCGCGATTCCGGCGGGCAACAAAGATCCGCGGCTTTTAATTTGCTGAAAGACGTATACAAATAGAGCAATTTATTCGGAAAGAAACGTGGAAAGCTAAATTTGTAGACCGCGGAGGCTTGCCGGAGAGACTCAATGGTCACCATAAATATGACGCGTATAGAGACGTAGTCGGCGACCGATACTCTCCGGCTCCAGAGTTATTGTCCAACGCGGGGAGTTTTTGCGAACGATATTAACGAGAATGCCGCGCCGGTCCAATTGAGAGAAGAAAGTCATTTTGAAATTTTACTCGCTGGACGAGCGAGTTTAACAGGATCGGACCAATCGCGAAACCGATTCGCACATCCCGAACCGCATATTTCCGATCGTGATTAATCATAACGACCGTTTGTCTGCGTTGGATTTCGACTAAAGAAGGATTTAATTATGACGGATGTCGTAATGATTGTCACGACTATCACAAATTTCGTACAACACAGAGATTAACGCAACTCAATCACAAAAAAAGTACGGAGTTAAATGCTTTTTGAGTTATGAGTTTTGTTGCCCCAAATATTCTATTCTAACTAAAATAGAAATCAGGAACCATAGGTAATTCATTAATACACGCTCCTTATTCCTATTCGATCTGCGATGTCTTCCAGATGTCCGCATTCATTATGGCGTCACATCTGCCCTCCCTGCCCTAGAAGAGACAGATAGTTATTCGTGCCCAATGAATCGCTGCCGCTTAGTGGCAGCTAGTTACGAGATGAATTCGCGTTCCTCCTATTTCCGCAATTAACTACTACCTCAATCCCAGCAAACCCGGTCAATACAGAGAGAACTGCTTCCAGAGCCATTTATTCAGCTTGCTTTTCAGCCTACTGTCTGCTATACCAAACAGAAGATACCGATTTTCTACCGCATCCCAGACCAGTCTGCCAGCTATCTCATATCGCCAGTTTTCTGGCAGTCAACTAGCAATCCCTAGCTCACTCTCACAGATGTAAGAGCCTGGACAGCCGCCATTCGATTGTCCCTCGAGTATCCTCTGTTGAGTTTCGCGTGAGTAGACATCAGTTTCGCAAAAATATCTGCTTGGAATACACTGGGGTAGATTCCCAATGGTACAGGCATCTGTGCCGTAGGAGAATTGCCATATATAATTGTTTCTGTCTGTTTTGGACAAATCCGTATACCACACTAGCCAGTGAGTTTTCTCTCGCACATTGGCAGTCGTCCTCTGTAGGGGTCCTCGTTCTGTATGGTGTATGAAAGTAGCCTGAACCCTGTTCCTTCTCGTAGAGAAGACATCTTGACAAATATCAATTGTTGGCTGTCTGTAAAATTAGGGTCGCTCTTCGAGCATCGATCCCCACCCTAGGCCTCGAGTTAACAAGTTGGTTTGGTTTTCAAAGAGCCGATCCCCTCTGCACTCGCGCTAGAGCTGACCTGATGTTGTGTCTTTCAGTAAAGCGCCACTATACCAAGGCAGCTAGGTAATGAGTGGTCTTACCAGCATCGCGTACACCCAGAACGCGATTTGTTGCTTCAATCCCCAGTGCCCAGAGGGGACGGCACATTCATAGAGATGCGCCTTCCGGCTTGTTTTATTGAAGTTACCCGTCCAAGACAGGAGGATCAAATCAGGAACGATAGATATACAGGGCAATTCGATAATAGATTGGTTTAACTTGGGCGAGCTTCTTAGCTCAAAAAAACATAAATCGGTATTTGGTACACCTAGTTCATACAAACATGAATTGGTATCTGGTACACCTAGTACACATTAAAAACTCGATATTTG